ATGTGGGCAAGTTTCTTTCCCCCTTAGCTTCAATAACCCCCAACCCCAGGAAACAGACCACTAAGTCCACCTCCAGACTCAAGCCTTAGGGTGCATGGTTATTTCTTTGTCTAGTCTCTATTATTTTTATAAGCAATTAAAAAGCAAGTAGAGCAGCTTATTGTGAAGTTTTGAAAAGGCGCAGGCCCTCTCTAGGCAAGCCCAATCCCAAGAGCACAGAGCTGGATGAGTAACGTGCTGGACAGTTTCCAGCCCCCACCACCCATCGTTACACATACCCTTGCGCAGCGAACAGCGCGAACACCTCACAGGGCGGCCCCGAGTCTCCAGTTTTCCCTTCCTCAGTCTATACCGCAGACCGCGCCCATGTGATCTTTGTAAAATTCCCCTCTAGTTATGAAATTTCTCCTACTGTAAAATTCTTAGTGATACAGCGCTTAGAAACTCCAGATCCCTAACATGGCACACATGGGGCTTCCTCACTGTGGCACCAACCTGAGCCCACTCTGCTCCCCAGCCCGCCCCAAGCGCAGCCGCTCTGAGCACGCCAGCCTCCACTCCTCCACGCCTTGGCACGTGTTTCCTGCAGCCTCTACTGTTCTCCCCCTTTGTTTTCTAACTCAGCCCTCAAGACTGGCTTCACTGCCAGATCTTCGGTGCAGCAAATGCCTTTCCTGACCCCTCAGCTGAAATGACTGCCCCCTCCTTGGCAGGCCCGGAGCATCTGTGAGTCCACCTTCCACACCTGCTCACTGGAGTCAGGAGGATACTGCATAAGCTTTGAAGTTACATGGAAACTGGAATCCTAACTCTAACATTTTCTAGCTGTGTGAATGTGGGCAAGCTCCTTTCTCCCTGAGCTTCAATAATCCCCAGAAATTACTGTGAAAGTCAAGAGATTTAATGCTATGGCTTCGTACCTGTTCAGACAGTGAAGCCACACTAAGGGCAGAATGCCATTAAATCTTGATATATTTTAAAAAGTTAAAAATAAATCAAGTAAATCTTGATATATTAAATCTTGATATATTAAATTATATCATGCAAACTAAGAACTACTCTACTAGGAGAAATTATGACTACATTATATGTATACAAGTTTCTAAATATATAAAAATATGTATACACACACAAACACGTTTTTAGTTTTTATTTATTTGTTTATTTTTTTAAATATATCTTTATTGATTTCAGAGAGAGGAAAGGAGAGAGAGAGAGATAGACAGAAACATCAATGATGACAGAGTCATTGGGGATCGAGCCCGCAACCCGGGCATGTGCCCTGACCGGGAATCGAACCCTGATCGCCTGGATCCTAGGTCGACGCTCAACCGCTGAGCCACGCCCAGCCGGGCAACACATGTTTTTAAAATCATCACTCTAAATTTATCGATTAAACGCTTGCTACTTTTTTAACTTTTTGTTCATTTGCTAATTTAACTTAACAAGTAGTAGCAGATACCAAAAGTTTAATAAAATATAATGGAAGAAAGAAACTTAAAGATTAGAAAATTCTATTCATAACTTACTTTGGAGGGGATGGGTCAATAAATACCATTACTCAATTTTAGTGGCCAAACACCTCATCTAAGAACATCCGGCCCACTACCTGCTACATGGTACATGCTGAATAAATGTTATTTGAGTTCTGAATTTGAAGTTCAAATTAAGTTCCTTGAAAGCAAGAGCATATCTCATTAATCTTTGAATAATGAGCTCTTAACACGGCGCCTGGCACACAGTAGTTGCTCAACAAATGTTGGCTTAATAAATAAACTTAAACTTAAGAAAGCATGCAAAGGTCTCTAAAACATTTTGCATCTCCAATTAGTCTGAATTGCAATTTACTCCAATACATTATATTCCAAAGTCTATGAAATGTTCCTTCTGTACCCATCACCTTATCTGAGATACTGAGTTTCTTGCGAGGAAGAAATATGTAGGCAGAATCCTTCCTAAAGCACAGAAATATTATTGAAGACAGCTAAGCAGGAGGAACATGTCACCTGCACTCCTGTAACAGAAAAAAGGGACCAAAGAAGACACATGCTTTATACATAGTACCTGTCAGCCAGTGACACCTACAATTTTGAACCCATATTTAGTCCCACAAGCCTCCTATTCAGACGATGTCTGGTTACAGTAAACACTAGAGAGACTCAGAAGGGGAGTCCTAGTCTATTCTCTGTTTGCAGATGAAAAACCTACACCATATACTTCACCTGTTTATACTCCCTCTAACTGAAAGCCGGGGTAGCTTCAAATTAAACAAAAAGCTAAGATCCAGTAGTTTCACTTTCACTAAAATAATATTGTAGGTAAATATTTATTAGCATAGGGCCCTGGTTGGGTGGCTTAGTGGGTTGGAGCATCATCCTGTACACCAAAAGGTTGTGGGTTCGATCCCCGGTCAGGGTGAGTACGGGAGGCAACTGATTGATGATTCTCTCTCTCTCTCCTCCCACCTTCCTCGCTCTCTAAAATCAATAAAAACAAATCCTGGTGAGGATTTAAAAAGTTACGTATTACCATAGTAGTTCACTATTTGTTGTTAAATAGGGGGGGAAAAACCAGGGTACCAAACCATTTGTAGCATATGTATGTATTACATATGATAATATTTATTTAATTTTAGAATTAAATAAAAATATGTATGTATTAAATAAGATAATAAAATAGAAGCTGTTTTTTACTTCTTAATAATCCATGACTAATCTTTCAAAAGTGCATCTATATTTTGTCAATGTTACCGACTCAAGTTTCCAGAAATCTGCCTCAAAGAATTAAACACAATGTTTGAAAGAGGAAAGATTTTGAAAACATACTCGTGATTAAGAAAAAAATAAAAGTGGAGGACAGAAGGGAGTTAAGAAGAAGTGTGGAGGTTATCTGCGTTTCTGAATTTTCCCGAAAACCGTGAGCTTGCCTCCTCGGAGAGAAATCAGTCCCCAATACACGTTAAGCACCCCCGAGAGCCTACAAAACACTGTCAGCAGGTTCTCTCAGGACGAGTAAATTCCGAGAGGCCTCCCCGCCCCTCCCTAATGTTGACTCCCACGTAACTGTTTCTTCAGGGCTGGATTTATGTGGAGCAACTTACGCTCTACCACCTTCTTCTTCCAGTTTTTAACTTAAAGGTGAATTATGAACATCCATTGGTGCAGATAAATATTCACCTATGACATCAGGTTTAGTGAGCAGAGATCTGTTTGCCACAGTCCCTCTGGTAACGCAGTGTCTGTCTTCAGCTTATTACCGTGATCAAAAGTCCTCTAGTTACCATGCCTCTACGAAATGGAAGGATGACTTTTACAACAATGTCACAAAGGGAATATTTTGGTCTAATGGAAGAAAAGTATTTCCCCAGAGACTATATTAAATTTTCAAGAGATGCTAAATTATTTGAAAGGCAGTTTAAGCAGCTTACTTTCTGAGGCTAAGTTATATTTCCAGTCTAAACACCACTGCAAATATCTGGATCCTGAAGCCCAGAGAATTAATCTTTTCTCCTTTTCATCCCATTTCTGTGAACAGATTGGTGACTTCCAGCATAATCCTCTTTCAAATATCCTTCCGAGATGGATTAACAACTACACCGCACAGGATTTCCTTTATTTGAAGGTTAATACATGAATACAAGACGACAAAATCTAACTAAATAAAAGTTGCTATCGTTTTTAAAAATCCCATTGCCAATAGTATTTCATTACTGCAATATTTCACTGTAACAAAGTAACTGTTTTTGGAGAAAATTTTCAAAGTCCTTCCCTTCAATGAACTTATATTAGCAGAGGCTTGACAGCACTCAGAAATTATATTCGTGGGGTGTGTGTGTACTCTATGTGTGTGTGTGCATAATATTTTTTCAGAACAAATATCTTATTAAAGTTCAAATAGGATTCACAATGAAAGATCCTTACCTTATTATTGTAATTATTACAAAATAATACACAATTATAAGTAAATTTATAGTAAACATAATAAAATCTGACCTTATTATTTAATGCTTCTATAGAACTTCTAGAGCAAAGTTCTTTTATGCCTTGCTTTATTTTAGACATGTTTCAGCTACAGTAGCTCATCTGTACTATCAGAAATGTAGAAGAGCTATAAGACACAAGGTATATACACCTACTTTAGAAAACGATCTAGTAATTAAATGGATGAACAGTTCCTATTGCCAATCATATTGTTCCTGGAACATGCCAGAAAGGAGTGTGTGTGTGTGTGTGTGTGTGTGTGTGTGTGTGTGTGTGTGTGTCTGTGTTGCTTTGCTTGCACTCTTATGGTCCATTCATGCTCCCAAGCACTATCTACAACAAAGTACACTGACTGTATTATCTTCAAGGCCCATTTTACCTTTTCAAAAAGATCAGAGAATAAAACTGAACTTTACAGTCTCAAGTAATTTTTTCTAAAATATAGCAAAACCATTCATACACATATCTCAATTAGCGTGTCTTAAAGTACTTCAAAAAGGTATAAATAATAAAACTGGCAGGTGCATCAAATCTTCCATGACCAAGCTACATCCAGAACTTATTGAACAAGTGACTCTACATTTTGTTTTCCTTTCCAGACAAGAAAAGAACCAAATGGATTTCATTCTTATTCTAAAAATTCAGAACCAAAGAGCCTATATAAAAGTCTAAAACACCTGAAGCTCAAAAAACTGGACTCACTTTTCTGTCACACCACATTACATTGCCTTATCTTTAAAGTTTAATGCATCTAATGCACATCTAATAAAAGGCTTTATCACAACCTTGAGGTTTCAGTTTCTGAAACCCAAAAGAAATGGCACAATGCAGAGAGTCATCCAAATCTCTTTAGGTTTTCTTAAAAGGTTTCCTGAGTCCCTTTCCATGTTTCAACTCCATGAGACTACATAAAACTTACAAAGCCTGGAAAGAAAATAGAAAGGCTACAGGACGACTATTAACTGTCTGAGAAAAGTATAACAAAAAAAATGTTTTAAAGCAAGTTAGAAATTCACTTACTTTTCCCAGGTCTTTGGTACAAAGCTCAAAAGGCAAGTTCCCTTTTCCCACAAAGTCTTGTTAATTAATAGCAATCACTCAGCAAGGTCAGGCAGCCCAAATAGATCTAAAAATTGTGTAAAGGCAAAAAAGTTAAAATTCAAAGTCAGATTAGAGATTAACAATCAAAACACCCCATTGCTATTCAGATTCCCTCTGCATAATTAAAATATAGATTTCACTGGAATATCTAAATGATGAGATCTGTTAGCTACTTTTCTTTCCCTTGCTAAATCTAGATGGTATTTTGATCTGTTGTCTTATTAAAGTTACTAAAGCAGAAATCAGCAAGGCTTCTTGGCAACCATTCATGGTAAAAATGTCCTTCTCTGGGAGTCATAAAAAGCAACTGAGGGAGGATCTGGACTTCTAATTATACTGTGACTTGGGAGGGAAGGTTTTCAGAAATCACACCTGCTCACCCCACCTTCCAAAGATGAGCTCATCTCCCAAACACAGTTATAAACAGGAGTGAATACTAACAAAGAAAACCTGAACAATTTTAAATGCCCTTCAGATGTATTCCCTTAAGCACCCTTCACTGCAGCACGTGGAAATAAGAAAAGTCCTGTTAATTTCTTTCTAATAAAACAGAAAAATCCAAAAATGCTGCACAAAAATAACCTCACTTAAAATGTAAGCTCCTTCCCCAGCAATGCTGTGAATGAGAACATAGGTAATAACTCACTCACAAGATTACAAAGCTCGAGTTGGTAAAACAGATGCCACAGGTAAACCTTAATCTCAAGTCTGCACTCCCCCATTCTGGGCCTTACCTTAGATGCAATTCTAAGAAGAGAAATGAACTCATCTATGAGCCGCAAAAGGTAGACAAATAGGCTAGTTAGAAGGAGGCAGGGAGAATTGCTACAATAGCAGTCATAACTGAAAAGCACAGAGAATCCCAGAAACATCACCAGGCATCGCTTATTATTACTGCCATTGTCACTGCCAACACTTCCACAGTGTTGACTCTCACGCCAGATTCTTCTGTTTTACATGTACTAACTCTATGTAGGATAGAGGCAAGCAGAATATCTCCTACACATCACCGTGTTCCACACAGGGTACTCAATTCTGCTAAACCTTGTGTTTGTTCCAAGACTGATAGAGTAGGAAGCAATCTGAGTGTAACTCAAATTTCACATTTGTGTATGGGTGATTTCATTGCAAGCAATGCTAGGTAATAGCAGAAGATTGAATGCAGGTGGAACCCAGCTGCATAAGGATACATAGAATGCAAAAAACCCATGCCTCCAACATGCACCAGCAATCTCAGTTTCCACCAGTGCGTATGAGCCACACCCATCTGCATCGGGAGCCCCAACTTTCCTTCTGATTCCAGGTAACCCTCCTCAACCGCTACAGAACAACTCAGCAGCTACAACCCTTCCAAGCTCTCCGTCCACAAGAGGAGGTCAGGACTATGTCAAGGTAAAGTACCATATGTATTCCTTAACCACCTAATATATGTAAAATTGTGCTACAAGTTTTATTCAGTTTCTATCTTATTTTTTTAACGTATCACTAGTAAACACTGATAAAGGATTTTGAGTGCTGTGTTCCTGACCCCATTTATCCCATAAGTGTTGTGGGTTCTACTGCAAGATTTTGCATAGCATGGTGGTTTTTAGAAATACATATATCACAATTTAGCAGAACTGACTGTACAATAACTAGTGTTTATACGGATGCTTGTGATTTAAGCCAGAAGGAGTTAAATTGTGATTTTTCCAATCTTTTCATTATGTTAAAGGGAACAGCAGCATATGTAATACAATTTTAGGAAGATTCTCATTCACAATGTTCACAATTACCAAGTATAGACCCTTAAGGATCACTTTCGGTTATGTGAAGAATTTATTTATGAAATGTTCCCTAATGGTGGTAGATAAATAAGGTATTACCACACCATTCTGTACAGACCAAGATGATTCTTATAGATTCTTGCATATAAGAGGGCTTAACCGTAATTGCTGGAAAGGGCAAACTGAACTGAATTACTTTCCATTCCTTTAAACGAATAAGTTGAAAAAAAGACTCTGAATTTATTCTGAAAAAAAGTATAATATACATAAAAATATGTACTAAGAAGTTTTCTATTATAAGTAATACCATTTCAAGCAATTTGAAAAATTTAAGTATCTAACAATGGATAAACAAATTTTTAAAATCTGTAAGGTATTTAATGAAATGGGAAAATGTTTTTAAGCAGTGATCGTGGGAATGCAGACTATAATGCAATATGTTCAATATGGTACCAATTTTGTTTAAAAGTATATCTAGAAAAAAAGACTAGAAGTAAAAAAAAAAAAGTCAACACATGAATAGCTGCTAACTAGAAATAATAGAATTAGCGTAGAATAATTTTTACTTTCTTTGCATCTCCCTGTGGTACCCAAATTTTCCATAATAATCACATCTACTTTTCTAATTAAAAATAACAATATGCTATATAAAAATAAGACTAAGGCATTTGGTGGGAAAATCTCTTTTTATCTTCACTTTAATTTCACATGCAAATCTAGACAACAGAATGAAGGCCGGCCCAGGAGCAAGGACACCAGAAGCTTTCTCCACAAGTATTAACAGATCCAGTCTTAGGACTGAACCCTTAAAAGTATTTTCTATCTCGCAGTTCAAGGGCAACCCAGTCCCAAAAGGGATGTTCAAAGTATATAAATCCATTAGAGTCCAAAATATAATTTACTTTTACTGGAAAAAACAGTCATGGACTTAGTAAAATCCAGATGAAAGATTTTTTTTTAAATTACATAATTGTACACAAGCTGTCTTAATGTCTGAAAGAAATTTTTTTCTGAATGAAGAAATTGTGTTCTGGATAAAGCTCCTTTCAAACAAGATCAAGATGAAAGGAATATAAGGAGCAATGGATTTGGCCATAGGGATGAAGGCTCACTTGGGCAGTTTTAAATAGAAAGTAAGAAAAGAGAGACTGATCTCTATGACCTCCAAAAGAAGTCAGTTATATTAAAATGTTCCCAACGACGAAATTTGACTTTGAAAATAATCCATTTGCCAAAAATGGTGACTCCTTAGTCATGGGTGCACTTAGTTAAATCCCATTCGCTGACATCACATAAGAACTGAATGGTGAGAGTACTCAAGAGTCAAGGGACAATTTGGGACAATTTGACCCCCACACACACCTGAGTTCACTCACCTATGCTTGCTAGCAATACATTTAAATGACGTGACCCTTTCCATTTTCAGTTTAACCTTCCTCGTGTACATCCAGTAACTATTTTGTGTAGAGCAGTTGCTTTACTAGGACTCCCCATTCTCAAAAATGTACTAAGGATCAAAAGTCAGTGTGTGTGTGTGTGTGTGTGTGTGTGTGTGTGGTTTTGTTTCATAAAATTACAAAGCATCTGAAACACATTCAATGTATACATCTGAATAATAACCATATTCCTGCTGCACAAAGCATAGATGTAGTATAGTCTTTGCTTTTTTGTTTTGTTTTTTTATTTCCAAAAATGCTGACTTCATTAAAAAACAAACAAAAACAAAGCCCTTCTGTTACAAATCTGCTTTTGTATTTTTAAGCATTCTCATAGGTTCCCCAGTAAATGGAAACAAAAGCTACTGGCATCGTGTTTTGTTTTGTTTGAAAGAACAGAATAGGCAAATGAACATTTTAATTATGCTATTATATATAAAAATAGAGCACAGAGGAGATATTGAGTTCCAGAAAAATCAGTGGGTTCAACTTCAAGATCCCCCTGAGAGACTATCATTTTATCAAATGCATGCTGATTACTGTGGAAAATAACTTGGAAATTCTTGGTTTCTGTGTCTCATGAGTTGCTGCCTAAAATGCTGTGCATTATGCACCTTTAATAATTTGCAACCAAATACTATGATCAGCAAGTAAACTCAGATACCAGATTCAGTTGTGATTACTCAAAAAAATCTATCCATTTTTATTTTTATTTTTTAAATGCTTAAATACACACCCAATCTCTCCATGCCTCACACTGACTGAAAATGTAGAGCATCGAGGAACTCTCCGTACGAAACCTGTATTTCCTAAATTGCTCTAAGAATTAGCATATGTATAGCTCAAGGGAATACAGTCTGGTAGCATTACCGGATATTAAAAAAAGGGCAACCAATGTTTTCAGAGTCTACCTGGAAAACAAGCAGAAATTATTTTCTCAGGCTCTCTAGTCTCTCCCTGGGCAGAATTCCAACATAATCTAAATTGGTCTTTGGCACCATCTCACGTCATTTTTTGCATCACTGTGCCACCTCCGGTCCAAGCCCAAAGACCTTCACTTTCAATGACCTCCTCCTCTCACTGGTCCTTTCCATCCAAGTTCTAAACTCCTAATGTCTCCACGGGAGTATATTTTAGCAGAAGTTCTGGGGTTGGGGAGCTTAAACAAATGCTTAATGACTTTTGAGTTTCTCTGGATTATATGCATTTTTTTTTTAAATTACCCAGATCTTGGTTTCTAAATACTTCAGCTCTTTGGACAGTATAGTTGGGTACAGGCCTGAGCTAAGGAAAGTATAAGATAAGCCTAGAACATCTTACTTCGCCAGAAAGCAGTGCCAGAAGTGCTCCAATATTAATGCAGACATGACAAAAAGGCATAGGAGCTGCCTCGAAAGGGCACCCACTGGTCATCGGTTTGGACAAAAACAAAATGATATGGATGAATTAGGACACATTGAATAAAAAAGAACCATAAACCCACAGATAATCATGAAAAAGAAGATAGTGAGAAGTTCATCTTTATCAAGAATGTGACCTAATAAACACCAAAGAAGAGCAGAAATAGAAAATCCTATTTTGTAGCCAGTGAGGCAATAACTGATTCACTCAACGATCATTAATGGATGCTAAGACCACGAGGGAAGGGGTTGCTGTGGGATGGATACTCACACAGCCTTGGAGTACCGCCCTGCAGATGACTTACCACTTACCTAAGGGAATTGGCTCCTTGAGCTCAGCTACAGGACAACCGAACTTGTGTCTCCACAGGAACTATGTGGTATGTTCATCAAAATGCTTAACCAGTATCTAATCATAAAGTA